CATGTTCTAGTAAAAAAAATTTCATTTCAGAAATTCCAACTCGAAATGCTTCGCAAGATTTTCGAAATGCACAACTTCTACGCAATTTGATTTAATACGTTCTAATTTATTTTTCGCAAAATTAGCATGGTTGCTTTCAGTTTAATACCTTCCAAAAAAGTACATGCGATTTAGTTTTTGTACATTTTAAAGCTCCTAATGTTTTTACCGTTGACATTAACAGTCCAAAGCTTACATTTATTTTTTGTTCCAAGAAAACTGTTGAAGACCAATTAAAATGATGTCGAAACGCTCGGGGCTTATGGATTTCGCCGCCTTGAAAGCATTTTTCTACTTCAATACTTGGCCTGATAAGGGAGCTAGAACGCACGTTTATGCATGTCCCAGGTCTTACCCCACCTTATTTCGAGAAATAAATCAATTCGTCTAACTGCAATTAGTTAAAGGAAGTACAGCAATACCAAAAAGTCCGATATACTTAGCATGGAATTAAAACTACTGGTATTTGGCGGGAAACTTAAGAACGCTGTTTGAAACTTTCTACATAACATATTGGCGTAAAACTTAAACTTTCTACATAACATATTGGCGTAAAACTTCAGTTTAGATCGCAATTTGCTTTTTCTGATGCCAAGCAATCAGTTATTTTATTGAATTTCTTTTTTTTAACTTCACTTGATAGATTCTCATCGCTTTGTCGACAAAAAAAATCGGACAGCAAAATTTTCGAATTAGCTGTATCAAAAAAGTTGGATTATACTATTTGGAAGTTACCGTCGATCATTGTAGAAAGAATGAGACTACAAAAAATAATATATTTTTTTGTTACATCAGTGTTTCGGCAAAATGTCAAGCTACAACAACCGTTCTGGGTTCAGTTCCTCAGGAACTTATAGGTTTTTTAGCCGTAGATAGCCTTACAGCAGTTGTTGACAATTTTCAGAAAGCCAAACTTTGTCTATAAGTTTCAAAAAACTTTCAAAAAATTCGAAGATATACGATGGTGTTTTTGAACAGATCCTAAAACTGAAAAAAATCTCGCAAATTATAGAAATACTGTAGTTTTAGTTAGAACTTTGCCTAGAAATTACTTTTTTTCTTGCCATGAACAATGAACAGGGGCGGATTTAGGGGGTAGTGCGGGAGGGGTTGCGGACGCCCCCCTTCAGGGATTCGACCCCCTGCCAACCCAAAGGGTCCCCCTTTGGTACTTATTAAAAAATCCATTTTTGGCCGACCGACCCTAAAATTTTTCTAAAGGGGCCTTCGGCGCCAATATATACTTATTTTGAGGGGGAGCGCGCGCCAAAAAAAAAACGCGATTTTTTTGTCAAAATTTTCGAAAAAGTACCCAAAAACGCGGCTTTTTTGACCTGTTTTTTTTTTTCAAAAAATTGCTTGCGGCACAGAAAATTTGGCCAAAACAGGGTCTTTTTACTGCTTTGGGAGAGCTCGGAAAATCAATCTGATCCGCCCCTGACAATGAATATGGAGCAGTTGTTTTGTCAACAATAGTTTTTAAAAATCGTTTTGCAGATTGCGACGTGATTTTGGTAGTCGGTATTTTGCAAACTGTTCCAGAAAATGTTACACTACTTGCGAGAGCAAGTGTATTAAAATCAGAAACTAGAATTTTTTCCGTGAACAGCTATTTTTACATGAAAAACAGTAAGTAAAACAATTGAGCACAAGTAAGAATTTGTGAAGCTTATATCCGGGAAAAATTGAATTTCTGACTTTCGTTTGCTTGCTTATCTTTGTCGGCTTAGTTGCCCGTTTCTTGTGAGTGTTCTTGGTTTCCTGTAATTTGTAAAGTTAGTAGATCTCACTTTGTAATTTTCCTTAATTTTTCTTTTTGTTATTTTTTGTCGCTCAAATACTTTTTTTCAGCCTAAATGATTTCGGCTTATGTTTCGTTGGCTTAATACGCTACTTAGTTGCTTCAAAGGCAAAAAAAATATATTGATTTTTTTTGAAAAATTCAAGTAGTTTATGTTGCAATATTTCGAAATTTCCAAACAAATTTTCTTTTGTAATTTTTTTTTTGACAAACTTTTTGTCAACCTAGTAGCCGCTCGGCAATTACTAAATTTCCTTTAATGCTGCTGGTTATGTTTTTATAAAATTATTTTATTTTCCTCAAATTGTTTTTTCTGCTTTCTCATTTCCGTCTCATTTTTGGTGAGCTAGCTTTCAATGCTGCGCTTGCGTTGTATCGCAAGTGATGCAAAGCTCCGCTTTCCTTCTGTGCTAAAAGTGAGAATTTTTTGCTTAAATGTTATTTGAAAGTTTATTAGCCCTGATTTTGCATATATACATTTTACAAATGTTTGTTGCGTTTTCTTTTCCGGTTTTTTAAGCTTAAATAGTTTCATCCTATTGTAGATTGGCATAGATGGCTCAAATGCGTCATTTCATTTTTTAAGAGGGCCTTTGACTCACGGTGAGACGATGAAAAAACTTCGAACTTGAAAACTTTAATTCTGGTGACAATAATTGTTTTCAGCTCAACTGGCCTTATTACCACTGAAGGCTAGTTTAACTCTGGCAGTTGTGTTCCTTTTCTTAAATTTTTAGTTCAATTTTAAGAGCCACTCTTAACTTTTTCGTTGAGACAGTTTGTTTCTTCGATTTTTTTTGTTTAAAAAATTTTTTGGCTGCGCCGAATCATGAAAACTGGGAATTTTTTTTAAGTTTCAGAAAGTTTTTCGCGCTTTCAGCTTTGCAGTTTTGATTATAAACACAATTTTTAAATAGTACAACAACTTCAGTACAATACCGAAAAATTATGCTGCATTTTTTTAGTTTTCCTATTCATCAATCCCTTTAGTGAGAACGAATTGTTCATTTTTTGACAGACTGTCGGGCTGAACATAAAATTGTCCAGTGAATTTTGGATTCGAAAAAACTCAATTATCTAATCACAACGATAAGCTGCAAACAAAAAGTGTTAGACTTACCCACTTTTTTCTATTTCCTGAAAAACGAGAAAAAAAACCGAACTTTGCTCTGAAATTGTATCATAACGGGGAACTTCCAGCCCTAACCAAAAGAAACGATTGGAGAAAAATAGAACAAAAATCAGCGTCCGAAAAAACGTTTGCGACAAGAAAAAGAACAATAAAAATCTTCTAACGAAAATCAAAACAACTTCTTCTTACAGTTGCGACTGGCAAGTGCATTACAACCGGATACTATAGTTGGTTCTCTTAAAAACTTTGGCTCACAGAAGTCTCTGATTTAATTCAACTTGCTTCATAGTAAGTTCAAATTCAATGACTCCTTCTACCCATGGGATGACGGAGATTTGGGGTTTGCATCCGGGCGAGAACTGTACTTTAAAGGCACGCGAAATTTTCAGTTTTAAGGGAACCAACTTTTCGGAGTATCAAATGTCAGCTCGTTTTTTTATCGACTAAACTCCCGAAGCATGGATTTCTTAAGTTTCAGTTCAGAATTTTTGGAATAAACACTTGGAATAAAAACGATTGGGCAATAGTAAAAACGATTGGAACACTTGGAATAAAAACGATTGGGCAATAGTTGTAGCATAGTTCACCAAAAATTTTAGACTTTAATTTATTTTTTTTAGGCGTTGGGATGGCTCTTCACTAGGTTTGATCTGCTAAAATCAATCTAAACGCGGAAAAAAAAAGATATGAAAAGCTGACTCTCTCACTCATTTATCCGTGTAAATTAGTCTGAAAAACAGAAATAAATTTTTTTTTGAATTCTTCTGGATTGAGAATCACAAGCAATAGCGTTTAAATATTATAGTATAAAGCAGCCATCAGCTTTCTTTGGAGTCCCCCTCCGAAATACAGAAGAAGAAGCACATATCAATTCATTCGTTTATCGATGCTTAAATAAATAATTCATTTCAAACATTTACAATCAGGAGACCGATAATTAGAAAAACGCGCATAAAATTGAGACGATATAGTTGGATCTATGATTTTTCTGAAAAGAGAATTTGAAATGTTTTGGCGAAAACGTTTATTTTTTACAATGAAAAACAAGGAAAGCTGGTTTCTGTGCAATTACTACAGAATGTTATAAAAATCCAGAAAATACTTATAAAAGTCAAAGAAGTTCAATAAAATTTATCAAAACAGTTTTCCAAATTTTTTAAAGCAATTTTTTTGTTCTTTAAATTTTATTATCAGGTAAAACGATAAATTAATTTTCAATAACTCTTTTCAATTGAGTTAATTTAAGTATTAGTTGCTTTTTCAAGTTGTTTACACATAGCAATTATAAGCCTATTACAAGATAGACAAAAAATTTCCATTCGCTCGAAGCTACACTAAAAAAACTGAAACTTCATTCCCTTTTTTATTTGATTTAGGAAACGTTTCCTTGAATCTTTTAATGTGCGAATCACGACTGAAAAACTCTAAAAATATATATCACTCAACCCGTCATTTCGATGATCAAGTTTGCGTGAAAAAAAATTAAAAAAACTAAACTAAAACACCCGAATACGACGTTCCTCTCCATTTTCAATGGTCGAAACAAGGAACGAATTTATGCAACAATGAATCTTCAAAAATACGCGACAAATTTGTCTGTGACATCCTCAACCGCATCCAGTTTCAAGCTTTAATAATCGATTATAGTAGTATATGTCGGGGCAAAATCGCCCGGGGGGGTGTTGCTGGCCACCATGTTTTACTATAGGCTATAGAGTATCCGGTCAGCACCCTAGGTATTGAAACAGGGTCTAGATTTTCCATGTAATAAGGTAGGTTATAGGTTTCAGAGCTTCGGATGGTAATATG